TAGGGGTTTAGAGGTGCTCCGCTAAGGGGACACATCACAAGGGTTCCGCTAAGGGTACAAACATCAGGGTTCTAAGGGCTCCTTCAAAGGTACCATAGAGGTCCGATCCTCTGAGGGTTCTACAATTCCTTGTCATATGGTTTAGGGTTCAAGGCTTCGGGCTTTTAGGGTGTAGGGTTGACAGAGAAAGCGAACGAGTGCCCAGAATATTGGATGTCTACTTGTCCCAGCCTTTGAGAATGACTTGGTGATGCTGTGATGCACCTCTCCATCTTCTTCCGGGCTTAGAGCTGCAGGGGCAAATGATATATGTGATGTTGAGTTGGGCGCAGTATTGCAGCAAAAGGGGCTAGTCGCACAATTGAAGAGTACCTATAAAACGCATGAGTGTCGGTCCCAATGTTGGAGTTTGAAGCTGAGCAAGGCAAGTGTGTGAGCGTAGCACCTGAACGATGCACCCCACTAGTTGCAAAGATGTGGTAGCAACGCTAGCACAGGTTGCAGGAAACAGAAAACGTCCAACGCCATGCACAAAGCCCTACAACCCAGACCACAAAGACACCACCTTTAAATCCTAAGCCCTAAACTACCCATAGGCCCCAAAGCAGTTCCTTTTTGGAATTACCTTATAGGTTTCTATGTACGATCCCCAAAAAGGAACTACTTTCGGGCCTTAGGGTAAGCCACCCTTAATCAACTACCCTGCGGTGGAAGGCAATGCCTGGATGGCTGCCTCATTGGGGTTGCAGCCGCTTTGCAGAAGCCTCCGGGCGGGCGGATCAGCAAATCATATGACCCTAAGGGTCCATGTACTCATATAGTATATACATTGGCCTTAATGTAGTCCCTATATAGGTACTTTGAGGCCCATGTATCTCTATATGGGTACATGGACCCTTAGGGTGAGTAGATATGGGGTGTCGGTAGCTTGATTTTCGAGTTGAGGGCGCACGTCTGGAGTTAAAGTCGGGTTGAGGTTACATGTAGGGAATAGGGCGAGCCTGTTGGTTAAGTTCAGACTGCATCGAAAATCCGACACACAGATCGTTCTGCTCTTAAGCTACAGTGCCCAAATCCTGAGGGAGTTTGGGTGTAAACTCCACACCGTGCTCACCCACGAAGAGAACAAGATCCACCGTAGGTCTTTTGCATGAGCCCTGCTTTCAGTTGGGCCAGAAGCTCTAAGCAACGTAAACCCTAAACCGTTTTTTGTGTGTTATTGGGTCATATCCTCTGGCGTTTCCTCATGTAAGGCCTGCATGGTTCTCCTGCCTCTTCTGTTTCTTTCAGGTCCTTTATGTAACGTGGTTGTATATAGTTTATTGCGGCAGCTAGAATAAGGTCTAGAACAGGGCTCTGGCGTCCATGACAGCAGAATCATATCGAGAACTATACGGGCATGCCATTACTATATTCATGAGCCCTAATTTAACCACAAATAGCCTACAGTTCTTCAGGACTTATATGGAGGAAATCATAAAAGGGCACCCTAAACATGTAGGCTCTCAAAGAGCTCAATGTCCCTTAATGAAGCAATCTTCCTGAACATATAGCAGGATCCCTAACATGATTGAAGGAATATTCCTTAACTAAAGGAAATTGGAGTATTGAAAATGTACAACTTTTATTCCTTATTGGGTCAAGTACCCATTTTTAAAATGTTACCCAACTATGACAAAGGTAATGGACTGTGGGGTGTGTACCCGTTTTGAGCGTGCGGGGGGGGGGGGGGGGCTTGAGGGGCCTGCTAGGATCTCAGAGGTTCAGGAGACACTTGGAGGCTCTCTTGACATAGTAAATCTACTTAAGAATAGAAGTTATGGGGCTTACCATAGGGGCTATATGGGGATAGTAAGTAGACTTAACTTACTAAGTCAAAAGGGCCTCCAAGCAGGGTTTCAGGCTTTTGGGGACTAGAGGATTGACTTTTGTGTGATATCGGCTTCGATGTATGTCGTTGAACAGGCAGAAGAAGAGCGAAACGAAGCCGCCTCTGGAAATGCTCTTGCACCCGCTGCTTCAGGGAATCTGCCATCTGCTAGGGTGCAACAGCTCTAATTCGTGCATTAGGGGTCCTTAGCTTTCATGTTTTCGGCCTTTACATGGTGGTGCATGGCTCTCAGATATTCGGATTCGGAGTTGCAGTGCCTAAAGTCACCTGCAACCCGAAGTGAGGACACGGTTAAGGTTTGGGTAGGATTATTAGGGTTTAGGGTTTAGGGTTTAGGGTTTAGGGGGTTTAGGGTTAAGGGTTGGATCGCTGTTCAATATTACACGGGTGGGATGGTACGTAGCCGACAGACTCGGCCGGTTGTCGGCCCGCAGGCTCTGCCACGTCCATAAGCACGTCGTGGTGTTTGGCAATGAAGCATACATATACTACAATGCCTTACAAGCACAAGTTACACAGATTAGTTACTTACTTACATGTGTATATATGTATAATATATGTATTGCTGTAAACATTTCTCTCTCAGTCTATATATATATATGTACATATACACATGTAATTTTGTATGTATAAGCTTACATAGGTCTCAGGGCGGTTGGGATTCATCGAATCCTGTTCCTGGACTTGCCCGGCCGATGCATTTCAGAACGCCCTCTTGGGCCAAGGATGGCTGCAACATCAACGAGAACTGTACCCATAGTCTCCATTGTAGTTCCTTTGTGGGGTTACCTTTCAGGATCCTTAATATAACATTGGATAAACCATAAAAAGGAACTACAATGGAGACTATAGGTAGGGTTCAGGGTCTAGGCTACCGCACGGGCTTCGATAAGAAACGTACGGTTTTGAGTATAACAACGATAATATTGTATAATATAGTAAAGTTATAAGGAGGAACTTTCAGGCATAATACTGGATATGTGTAGGAATGCATTACAGGAACCCGAATGAAAGATACAGTCGGTAGAGGCTGCAAACCATGAGAAGTCTCACGCAAGCCCTATAAGCCCTACACCCTAAACTCCATGCCCTAGAGCCTCTATACCAGACTAAACCCTAAACCTTAAAAAGGGACTGTCGCAGATAAACCTGCGAATGAAGCTTCGGCATCGCTCATAAGATACCCTACCCCAACCCTGAACCCGAAACCCTGCACCATGAACCCTAAACCACGATCCCCCACCTGTGAGCTAGACAGAGTACTGCTTTTGGTTTTTGTTGATGATCACGCTGAAAGCTTATGGAACACAAAGATAACGGCATGCTGTTGAACACGGCGACTAGCAGGATAGCAGAAACTTGACGACGTGGGGACGCCGACGGCGACACGACAAACACTACAAGAAGTCCGCATGCTATAATGGCAATGACTCATTGACAATCGTATGCATACTAAGAATCATAATAATTAACCATGATAAGGCTGGTGGCGGCGTGGTGATGTTAGTGGTCATCGTCGTCGTGGTATTGACGTGGAGTGGTGGTCCTGGTGGCGCTGATGCTGCTGTTTATGCGTTACTATTTAACTACTTACTAGTATTATGACTTTCGTGACTATGATGATGTGGTGATGTAGTTGCTACAGCTGCGACTGGTTGTGATTCCAATACCCGCAACCAACAACCTACAACCAACACCCACCACCGCCACCACCACCACCACCACCACCACCACCACCACCACAACCACCAACAACAGCAACGACGAAAACAACGACAACAGCAGGAAGGTTAGATGGCAAACACAAAACAACAGCAGCGGCAGCAGCAGCAGCAGCAGAGGTAGCGGCAGCGGTAGCGGCAGCGGCGGCAGCAGCAGCAGCAGTCACTACGCAGCAACACCACCAACAACACAAGCAACATGCACGACAACAAGGATTTGTATTACATATAACGCATGTGTCGAACCCGCACCCCCCTCCGCCTTCTATCAAGAAAACCCACACATGAATAAATACATACATATATACATATACAGATATATAACTCTGTCTGTGTGTATGTACACACACATATATATATATACACACACACACACATACATATTGATATATACATATATATATATATATATATATATATGTATATTATGTAGATAGATAGACACCACCCCAGCTTCGGGAGCCTTCCAAACAGGCCCCTCGTGGCCCTTCAGGTGCCCAATCTGCTGCTGCCGGCCATCCGTCACATCCAAAATGCGCACGGTGCAGTCACCTTTTTAGGGTACCATCACGGTTTAGGGTTTAGGGTTTAGGGTTTAGGGACCCAAGAGTAACCTAGGAATAAAAAGGGTGCCCTTTTTGGTTTAAAGGGGCTTATAAGGGAACCTGAAGCCTCAAAAAAGGGAATAGGGGCCTACTCTGGGTCCTAGTCAGGGTACCATCGGGACCTTAAATAATTAGGACAGGGTTCCTTTAGAGGCGAGGGGTTTATAAGGGATACCGTACGGGATCTAAACGGGTACTATAATATTTAGGCCTTGGGGTTTAGGGTTGAGGGTTTGGGGTTTTGGTGTGTGGGGGGGGCTGTACGGTTTAGGGGTTTAGGGTACCATAGGGGCCTTAGATAGTCAGAATAGGGTTTTGGGATGTATTGTACTATACTGATATAAGGCTTTACGGTATGAGGTTTAGGGTTTAGGGCCTATTTAGATAGGGTTGAGGGCTTGGGGCTTCAGTGTGCGGGGTTATTGGGTTTGGCGTAGTAGGTTTGAGGATTGTACCTTCAGAAATATTGATCTCGAAGCGCGCCGGCGTGGATGGCAAAGCACAAGATTGCACATTGAAGGCTTCCATGTTCTTTGCTCAGTTTCATTTATGCAAAGGCAAGCAGACATGCAAGCTTGCAAGACCTCGTCACATGCACAAACACACACCCAAATCCTATTTACAGAGTGAGCTATGGGAGAGTTAAGAGAGGAGGGCTAGCTTTTTGGCTGCGGACCCGGGCGAGATGTAGAGCCTAACATACCGGCCTGAATCACGACTCACGACTGCTGCTGGGTTGTAGTCATGCATACTCAAAAATCGAGTATAATCCGAAACACAGTTCTAACCCGTTGGAGGTGTGATCGGATCTCTGGTAGCACCTGATGCCACAGCAGCCCTCTTGGCGTAGTAGTCGAGCTGCACGTCATGGATTACGCCTTAGCTCGCATGCTGCGATGTGGAGTGAAATCCATATTATTAGTTTCGCTGGTCAACGACCAGCACCCCCAATTTCCTTTGTAATCACGAAGAAGAAACTATGGGCTACAAAAAGCGGAGCTGGGGAGTCTAGATCCTATAGTAATAACTTGGAGAGACTGAGATCCTGGCCGAGGGAGCTCGTGTCGAACGAGCCGACCATCTGCCTTTCGCTCATGCTCCACTAGTGTTTAGGGTCTAGGTGTTTAGGGTTTAGTGTGTGTGAGAGGGGGGGGGGGGCTCAGAGCACTTTCGGCTTTTGGTTTCAGGCTTACAGACCTGGAACTTACATTCTGAGAAGTCCGCATCTGATGCCTTCCCCATAAAATTGTTCCTGTCAAATGGTATGGTTCTGGGCCAAAGGCAGGTTCGCATCGGTGGTGTAGGGGTTGGGGGGTGCAGGGGCCTAGGCCAGGGATCACAAGCCAAACCACTGGTGAAAAGAATGCCAGCAGTCACAACAAGCTGTTGCTCGCAAAGTACCTCCCGGCACCTACCGAAGTATGAACATTGGCAGCTTGAGATGGGTGCCAGTTTGGCGTCAGGCATCTTCGTCTCGGATTTTGCGATGTTGACACGGCGCAGGACAACGACATGTCATCTTCAGGTCTGCAGGACTCGAAATTCTGTAGCATGGCTTTATGGGAATGGAACCTCTGATCAGGCTAAGAACCCTATACGCTCGTCACCTCCTCCATAAGCGGACAAAGCGGAGTTCACACTTCCGGGCCATACTAAGCAATAGGTGGAGTGAAAGTGTTTAGAACCGGAAAATAGTCTAAAGTTTGCAACTTCGGCGCTGGGCGTCTAAAAGCTGAGTGTGCTTTCCACTCCACGGCCCCGTGTTGAGCTCCGGGCGACATGGCTCACAGTAGCTACCCTCAAAGCACCTGGGTTGGTTGAGGGTAGGGTTTCAAACGGAGGTATAAGGCGGTTCAAAGATCGTCATGCGATTAAGTGCCCTTCCTTATCTTTCATTCCCGCTTTTTGCGGTTCACCATACCCCTACCACTACGACGACCAGGACGACTACTTTTGCTTACTGACTTACTGCTGCTGCCACAGTGCCGCTGCCACTGCTACCACTGCGACCGTGACTGCGACCGAGACCACCACGACGACTACCACTGCCAATTCCTAACGGACACCAACTACCGCTGTTACTACTCTTGCTCCCTCACTAGTGCTACGACTCCTCGTAAAATTGCTACACGTCCACGAAATGTGGACTGAGCAAACCCCTGGAACCTACTGAACAAAAACTGTAGGCCGTTAGAGACCCGATCAAATACCTGAACAAACGAAAAAACAAAAAACTGAATCACTGCATGCACCCCCGCAGAGGTGAAATCGAAATCCCAAGTCCTGCACCCTACACCCCTACAAGCTTCTCGTTTCCATCACATAACAAGGAAGCCTAAAAGGCACTCAAACACGATACATGCCCCTAGACCCTAAACCCAAAGCCCTGAACCCAAAACGACACACCCCAAACCCCCAAAACCCTACACCCTCAACCAACACAACCCTACAACCCGAAAGCCCTAAAACCCCAGACCCCCAAACCCCAAATCCCTAACAATCCTAAAGCCCCAAACCCTAAACCCCAAAATCCCAAACCAAATCCCTACACCCTGAAGCCCTAAGCCCTAAACCCCCAAAGCCAACAACCCTACAACCCTAAACCTACAACCCCGAAGCCCTGAACCCGAAACCCTACACCCAAAAAAAAACGAAACCGCACACCCCGAAAGCCCCAAACCCGAAACGCAAGCGATGCCAAGGCGCCCAAAACCCTCGGAAGGAGGCTGCGGCTTTTGGGTAGCTGGTCGAAGTTGGCAAAAATGTCAGCGGCAATGACGGTTTACTTGGAGGGGCAGGGTATTTAGTAAGTAGGTTATAGAGAGGGTTGCAATTGGGGTAACTCCATTTAGGGTTTAGGGATATTAGGGTTTCGTTTTAGGGGTTCAGGGTTTAGAGATTCGGGGATTGGGGTTTAGGGCGACCGTGGCAACCTTCTGGCTCGCTCTGTTTTTTGTCGCATTTCTGGGCTCTAGAGGCCTCTTGATAGCGCACCCAAAAAGCACATCAGCAAAAACTAGGAAAGGGATATCCCGGTAAAATGCTTATGCTTATGTGCTTTTTGGGGTCCCTAACCTGAAGCAAACTAGTTAACCCTAAAAACCCCAAACCCAGTTATGGTTTGGAGTTCAATAGTTGAGGTATGGGAGTTTCCGAAAATTAAGGCTACCTTTTTGGGGGCCTTTATGATAAGGATCCTACTATTTAGTGGTACTATATTCAGGTCCCCTACTCTCGCAAACTTCCCTATACTTCAAACACAACCACCCACATTGCACGGTTGCAAGCGCCAAACCACAATTATACCAGGCTTGGGTTGGGGGAGAGCCTATAAACCCTAAACCCTAAAGCGCTGAACCCTAAACACTTCACATGTCGGCTTCGGCGGCCTGAAACCTGATTTTGTCAACCACTGACCTGCCCCAACTACCCCAAATTGTACGTAGTTAGGTCCGAAGAAACCGCAGCGCACCGCAACATACCTAAGACTCCATTGTAATTCCTGTTTTTGTTAACCAGTTTTCGTGGTTAGGATCCTTCACTACAAATTTGGTTCGCCAAAAAAGGGAACTAGAAGGGAGACTAGAGATATTTCTCAATCCTGGGACAATGATGAAGAGGAAAACTTAGCCCGACACACTGAGCCCTAAACCGGCCGGGATCATTCTATGAGGCTAGCTATGTGTTGCAATATACCTTGAGTCGGCTTCGCACTTACGATTTCTCGGTTGAAAGGTTTGGAGCCAAATGCGGCCTGTAGGGTGACATTGCAGAGAAAGTTAGGTTTAACACCTGCAGCCGTCGAACTGGGGGTTCAAGAAGTCTGGTATCGTGTTCGGGAAGTGCCAAAAGACCCTGAATGAAGGAAACTACCATTTTGAACATCATGATTAAGCCCCCTTGTTCCTCAGATGTGTGGCTTCGCTAAATGGGGTTCGCCTCTCTGTATGATAGGTCATATGGTCTCCGTTGCAGTTCATTTTTTGGTTAAGCAAAGTTGATGGTTATGATTCCAGAACCAGGAGCTACAATGGAGACTACACGTCTACCCATTATATATATATATATATATATATATACATATATATATATATATGTAAAGGTTACGTGTATATATATATATATATATATATGTATATATACACACATAGAGATTACACATATAGATATAATATCTAAAAAGAAATAAGTTTTATATACCCATTTTACCTACAGATATAGGATCTAGGAGACCCGCGCGCTCGCTTTCAAACATGACACCACGCTCGCTGCATGGTCCGTCTGACTCTATAGCATCCCATGCAATACACGCAGGCCCTACAGCCTAAACTGAGAAAGGGGACTAGCAACAGAAGTAAACTTGTATAGTGAGCGCACTTAAGAAAGCACTCATGACATGAACATCCTGGCTGGCCACTAAAGCTCTGGAGCTTCATCCGATGTAAGATTGTCGCCGCTAGAGCTGTAGGGTGCGTCGGGTCATGAGACCTCTACTGCATGGAAGCTGGAGGATGCTTGACTAGGGCAAGCCGTGGCTCAAAAATCACGAGTAGCTGGGAAGCTGGTGCTCGCAGCACATTGGGTTTTGGGAAAACTGGGCATCGCCTTCGCGCGACTCAGAGGTGAAACCGCAAACAGTCTAAAGGTGTTCCGGTCGGCTGTTGGAAGCCTAGGAAAGGAACAGAGGCAGCCTAGTTTCAGGACTGCCTTGTCCTTCCTGCTCTCTACGGAGATCCTGCCGCGTAATCATATATGGGGCCCATACAGGCCTGAATCGCTAGACAAGGGTTTGGGTCAATTGTAAATCTTCTAGATTTAGAGTATCTAGTGCTCAAACTTCAAACCTACATCAGATCTACATATTGAGAAACATGATAGGAACATGGTCAGATCCATCATTGCGAGAAGACTGAGGAAAAGCGAACCACAAACACGAGGTGCCTTTTGAAACCCTACCGTAACCCACCAAAACGTACTTTTTTGTAGGGTCCCCATAAAATCCATGTTAGAGGTTTATAATAAGAACCGAAAAAAAGTAGGTTGGTAGGTCCTTAAACCGTACACCCTGGACTCCTAGACCGTAGACTTCTACACCCTTCCACCCTAGACTACCCTACGTAGTAGGCCACATCCAGCGACCCCAACCGCTACATCCTGAACCTCCAGAAGCCAAACGCATGTGGAGTTTGAGGCAATAGAAGCCTGCTACCAAATCGAAGCATCCGAACTCCGAACACTATGCCTGTCCGGATTCCAGATGCGCGTAAGGTGAAATTGTCCATGTCCATGTGAGTTGCTGGTATATCCGAGGCCCGAAACCCTGAACGCTCGGGTTGGCTGGCGGATCTACATAAGCTTAGCAGCTTTGGAGGTTTGGGAGCTTCAGCGCTTCGGCATATATAGGGCTTTGTTACGGCTTCAGGGTTTATGGGTGAGGGCTTTTTTCGGCTTGAGGGGTCCCGGGCAGCGCAGAGAGCATACTTTGCCGACGGTGGTTAAAATATTTCTCAATTGTTCATTAACTGCCGCGACCCATGCTCGCTCCGCATCAGGTGGCAGCAATGTCACGACCTCCAGGTGAGCGTTTCTGTGAGTTGGCGTCCCTCGTAGGGCTTTACTCATGCGATTTGCATACTCATGTGGGGGGGCGGGGGGGTTCGAATAAGGAGTCGACATTGGGAACTGCAGCTGAGGGGTACATGACTTTGCAAGGAGAACCCAGAGCCTCCAAAACCCCATAAATAAGGAATATACCTTAAAATCATATTAGGGATCCTATGATAATTTAAGGTATATTCCTTAATTAAGGGGTTTTGGAGGCTCTGGGAAGCTCAAGCCAAAACACCGTCTTTGACGACATGGGGCGGGTGGGTGTGGGCCTAGAGTCTCGGGCTATACTGGGACTTTGGTGAGAGTATGCTTGCGGAGGTATACTACAAGTAGCACTAAAGTCTCGGCATCAGATCAAGCTAGAATACCCTACTATATAGGGGCCTAAATAAATACTAATACCGTGCTGGGGGCTCCTTATAATTAATTACAGCAAAATGGCCCCCCAAACCCTGTTCTAACCATTACGGCCCTATATTAGATAATGCGAAAACCCTTTTCAGCACGGACTGAGGTGCCGGCCAGCGCCCACGAAACTCGTAGCCCCGTTTTAAGGCCAGAGTTCGAAGGAAAAGCTGTAGAAGACCACTGACTGAAGCTTAACCCTAAACCCTAAACCCTAAAAGCCCTAAGCCCCGTAGCCCAAACTCTGGACCTCCAGTCCTCAATCCGACGAGGATGGTTTGCATCAGTGCACCGGCGCCGGACCCACAACTGTAATATTGACCTAGATGGTTTAGGGCTTAGGGGTGATACTTAGAGGTCGAGTACCCTGTTTTCAATAAGAGGTTAACCTTTCGAGTTATAGTAGGATTATCGAACTCTCCAAAAAGTTGAAGGTTACCTACTCAGCCCCTCCGGATAGAACTGCACAAAGCAAGCTAATATGCTACAAGGACCGGTAGATACACCCTTAATACCAGGGGACACGAGGCCTCTGTCGATCCTCCACCCAGTGCTAAAACTCAGGAAGCCCACCTCCCAGACTTTCGGGAAGATCTACAAAGTGGATCCCCTAATTTGGGGCCCTATACTGCTAAGGGTACTTTATAGGAGCCCCCCATTAAGGGATCTACTTTTTGGATCCTCCCGGGGGTCTGGGCTACAGCCCAAAGAAGGCCCCCTGCGTCACCTCAAAACCAAACATCAAAGGGGAAGAGGAGGGACCCTTCATAAGGACCCCTACGCTATAATGGGGCTATATACTGGGTATATAGTAGTTATATTAAGGGTAAATACCTAAGGGTCCCCATTAAGGGTCCCTCCTTTTACCCTTGCAGAGAACAAGTTGTAAGGGCTTAGGGTCAACCTGACCCCCAAGCAAACTGCCTGTTTGGGCTCCTCATCATGGTTTGTATTCGTTTATATGGGCGGTTGTCAAAATGATGGTCCCTTTTTGGGAACCCTAAATATTAGGTGCCGTATTATAATAGGGACCCAAAAAGGGACCATAATTTTGACAACCACCCATATAGAGTACAGGTAAGCTGAAACCCTAACCAATCTTCACAGCTGAAGCGCGGAGTAATAAAAACCCTGACACAACTACCATACGCCGCCTCCCAGGGTAATATGGGAGTTTCCGAAAATAGGGGACCCTAATACAGGACCCTAAATAGTAGGATCCTTATTATAAGGACCCCAAAATATGGTACCCCTTGTTTTCGGAAACGCCCATATCGGCTGTAGGCATGTAGGGCAAGCTAGCGGATAAGCGGTTTAGGGACCTCAGAGCCATGAAGTCTTCAAGTCAAAATGCCCTTTTTTCTGCATTAAACTGTATAGGGGCCTTAATAATTAGAACAGGATTTTGAGGTATATGATACAATAGTTAGAATAAGGGACCACCCAAATAGTAGTGGTAGTTATTACGGCCACTTCGTTAAACCCTGAGAACCCTACAGTATAAGCCCAAAAGTTGGAAACCCCAGAGCCTCCATCCTTAAGAGTAATGTGTAGGGAATCCCAGCACTATTTGGCCTTAATCCAGTTCCCACCCCTCAACCCTAAACCTCTCCCAACCCGACCCCTCCAAACTGAGATGGGAGTTTCCGAAAATTGGGGGTACCTTTAAAGGGATCCTTTAATAGGGGTTTCTTAAAGGGATCCTATAAGGGTTCTATGAAGGGTTTAGGGTTTAGGAGTTTCCGACAATTAGGGGTACCTGTTTTGGGCGTCCTAAGAATAAGGATCCTACTATTTGGAGCACTATCTCAGGGTCCCTATTTTGGGAAACTCCCAGATCGTTGCAAGGAGCTTCATCTAAAGTAGAAGCTGAGACCCTATAAGACCCCTTTAGAGAACCCTGAAAGGAATCCTAAAACTTACTTGCGAGGAACCCTCAAAGGAATCTTGCAAACTGTAAAGCAGCCCCTTACAGTGGAAGCCAGAAAGTTGGAGCCACAATATCCTGATGCCCTTGAGGTAAAGTTTATCTTCAATGGGAATGCTTAGGGGTCGTAGAACTGAACTCACTCGTGCGCTGCCATGCTACCCAAGATCATGCTTCCCATGCACTGCTTTCCATGCACTGCTTTCCATGCAATAGAAACTTAAATCAAGCTCCGTAAACACACGTGTTAAGTGATGCTTGGACGACGTTTTGGTTATTATATCCCTTTTTATCTATTTATAAAAGTAATAATATTTTTTCTCTGTTACAAGGTGCCTCGTCCTCAATCTCGCTCCCAGATCAATTCACTGAGCGGGCCTGGCGATGTCGGCACCCCAAAGCCTCGAAACGGTGTACTATCCTAAACCCTGAACCCTGCCTGAACCTACCAAAACCTACTATTTTGCAGGGTCCCCAAAAATTCCATATGAGGGTTTATAAAAATAACCTACAAAAAAGTAGGGTTTGGTAGTTTAAGGTTTAAGGTAAACCCTAAACCCCCTAAACATTAAAACCTCAACAGCCCTTTGCCCTGAGACCTTGGCACCCCATAAACCAGAAGTCCGAATCCCTGATCTGAGATCACCAACCCCATACACGCTGCCTAAATCCGACTCCCTTGAGCCGCTCCATTCCTTACAGTAAGACCCCAAACCCGAAAGCAAAACCTGAAATAGGCTTGAGATCGCTACTCCCTATCAAACGCAAGCCGTCATAAATCCCTATAAAGCCCGAAAACCCGCATTATCCCTGTCCGCCAGGCAGGACCTTCTCCAACACTTTCTCAGGCTCCTTCGGCTTGAATTCAGGGTTTGGGTGTGGCAAGGGCATGCCGTTTCGACTCTCAGCCAAAACCTCATCGTGGTCGACGCATGACCATGCGGCAAATCTCAAGTTTATGAGCCGAAACCCTAAACTTAAACCCTAAACTGTAAACCCTAACACCGAGTCGAAACGTCCTTGGACTTCAGAAAACCCTACTTATCTTGACTTCTATAAGCAAGCGGTCAGAAGGAACACTGGATACGTAGGTTTCTAGGGTTCAGGTCACGCGTATCATTACGAGGAAAACTTAACAACTGACGCGTTGACAACAAGGGCCGATGACCTTCTGAGAAGCCCCAAAGTAAGTGCTCATTGAGGCTTGGGAGCTGGAATTTGCACTTCGGGATCGGGGCATACGTTTAGGATTACCAGTCTCAGCGGCTTCGGGGGGTTTCACGATCGAGGGTCTCGCGCAAACGGCCGACATCCGGATGTCTGAAAACACACGAAACGATGACACCCTCTCAAACACGAACCCCCCCAATTTCGGGTTCGCATAGGATAACGGTTTACATGCAATAGGAGAGAACTGTATAGGCGTTAGAAGTCGTAGCGCTTTGGGGGGCGCAAATCAGTGCCGATTAGGGCTTCAACCCCGGACGACCCTACTCCGGCCAACCCCCACAATTAGTGATTTCGCACTGTGTGTATAAATCTCTCTCTCTCTCTCTCTCTCTCTCTCTCTCTCTATCTATCTATCTATATATGTATACATATATATAATATATATAATATATATATAATACATATATATATATGCGAAGGGATCGAACATGATGGCAACCAAAGATACAGCAGGAGCCAAAGAGGCGGAACATGAGTAATTCTCTTCATGGCCTTCCAGCAGTATATGGGCAAACGCAGCAGCTGTAAAAAACGGAACCGAAACACGACGAAACCCAAGCACTCCGTTTCCTTGGATTTTTCCTCCGTTTTCTGCTTCTCTGCCTTTGGTGCCTCTGGCTTCACATCCTTCGGCTTGTCATCCTTTTTGTCGGCCTCGGCCTTAGGCTTGTCATCCTTTTTGTCTTCATTCTTTTCCTCCTTCTTGGCGCCATCGGCCTTGGGCTTGTCATCCTTCTTGTCGCCCTCTGCCTTAGGCTTGTCATCCTTTTTGTCTTCCTTCTTTTCCTCCTTCTTGGCGCCATCGGCCTTGGGCTTGTCATCCTTCTTGTCGGCCTCTGCCTTAGGCTTGTCATCCTTTTTGTCTTCCTTCTTTTCCTCCTTCTTGGCGCCATCGGCCTTGGGCTTGTCATCCTTCTTGTCGCCCTCTGCCTTAGGCTTGTCATCCTTTGTGTCTTCCTTCTTTTCGTCCTTCTTGGCGCCATCGGCCTTAGGCTTGTCGTCCTTCTTGTCGGCCTCAGCCTTAGGCTTGTCATCCTTTTTGTCTTCCTTCTTTTCCTCCTTCTTGGCGCCATCGGCCTTGGGCTTGTCATCCTTCTTGTCGGCCTCTGCCTTAGGCTTGTCATCCTTTGTGTCTTCCTTCTTTTCCTCTTTCTTGGCGCCATCGGCCATGGGCTTGTCATCCTTCTTGTCGCCCTCTGCCTTAGGCTTGTCATCCTTTTTGTCTTCCTTCTTTTCCTCCTTCTTGGCGCCATCGGCCTTAGGCTTGTCGTCCTTCTTGTCCCCCTCCGCCTTGGGTTTGTCCTCCTTCTTCTCGCCCTCTGCCTTGGGCTTGTCGTCCTTCTTCTCGCCCTCCGCCTTGGGTTTGTCTTCCTTCTTCTCCTCTTTCTTGTCGCCCTCAGCCTTGGGCTTGTCGTCCTTCTTCTCGCCCTCCGCCTTGGGTTTGTCGTCCTTTTTCTCCTCTTTCTTGTCGCCCTCAGCCTTGGGCTTGTCTTCCTTCTTGTCGCCCTCTGCCTTGGGTTTGTCCTCCTTCTTCTCCTCCTTCTTCTCACCCTCTGCCTTGGGTTTGTCCTCCTTCTTCTCTTCCTTGTTCTCGCCCTCCGCCTTGGGCTTGTCGTCCTTCTTCTCTTCCTTCTTCTCACCCTCTGCCTTGGGCTTGTCCTCCTTCTTCTCTTCCTTCTTCTCACCCTCTGCCTTGGGCTTGTCCTCCTTCTTCTCTTCCTTCTTCTCACCCTCGGCCTTAGGCTTGTCGTCCTTCTTCTCGCCCTCCGCCTTGGGTTTGTCCTCCTTCTTCTCGCCCTCCGACTTCGGTTTGTCCTCCTTCTTCTCGCCCTCTGCCTTGGGTTTGTCCTCCTTCTTCTCGCCCTCTGCCTTGGGTTTGTCTTCCTTCTTCTCTTCCTTCTTCTCACCCTCTGCCTTGGGTTTGTCCTCCTTCTTCTCTTCCTTCTTCTCACCCTCTGCCTTGGGCTTGTCCTCCTTCTTCTCTTCCTTCTTCTCACCCTCGGCCTTAGGCTTGTCGTCCTTCTTCTCGCCCTCCGCCTTGGGTTTGTCCTCCTTCTTCTCGCCCTCCGACTTCGGTTTGTCCTCCTTCTTCTCGCCCTCTGCCTTGGGTTTGTCCTCCTTCTTCTCGCCCTCTGCCTTGGGTTTGTCTTCCTTCTTCTCTTCCTTCTTCTCACCCTCTGCCTTGGGTTTGTCCTCCTTCTTCTCTTCCTTCTTCTCACCCTCTGCCTTGGGCTTGTCCTCCTTCTTCTCACCCTCGGCCTTAGGCTTGTCGTCCTTCTTCTCGCCCTCCGCCTTGGGTTTGTCCTCCTTCTTCTCACCCTCTGCCTTGGGCTTGTCTTCCTTCTTGTCGCCCTCTGCCTTGGGTTTGTCCTCCTTCTTCTCGCCCTCCGCCTTGGGTTTGTCCTCCTTCTTCTCTTCCTTCTTGTCGCCCTCCGCCTTGGGCTTGTCGTCCTTCTTCTCTTCCTTCTTCTCACCCTCCGCCTTGGGCTTGTCCTCCTTCTTCTCTTCCTTCTTCTCGCCCTCTGCCTTGGGTTTGTCCTCCTTCTTCTCTTCCTTCTTCTCGCCCTCGGCCTTAGGCTTGTCCTCCTTCTTCTCTTCCTTCTTCTCGACCTCCGCCTTGGGCTTGTCGTCCTTCTTCTCTTCCTTCTTCTCGCCCTCCGCCTTGGGCTTGTCCTCCTTCTTCTCGCCCTCCGCCTTGGGTTTGTCCTCCTTCTTCTCGCCCTCTGCCTTGGGTTTGTCCTCCTTCTTCTCACCCTCTGCCTTGGGTTTGTCTTCCTTCTTCTCGCCCTCCGCCTTGGGTTTGTCCTCCTTCTTCTCGCCTTCCGCCTTGGGTTTGTCCTCCTTCTTCTCTTCCTTCTTCTCGCCCTCCGCCTTGGGCTTGTCCTCCTTCTTCTCTTCCTTCTTCTCGCCCTCCGCCTTGGGTTTGTCCTCCTTCTTCTCGCCCTCTGCCTTGGGTTTGTCTTCCTTCTTTTCTTCCTTCTTCTCGCCCTCCGCCTTGGGCTTGTCCTCCTTCTTCTCGCCCTCCGCCTTGGGTTTGTCTTCCTTCTTTTCTTCCTTCTTCTCGCCCTCCGCCTTGGGTTTGTCCTCCTTCTTCTCTTCCTTCTTCTCGCCCTCAGCCTTGGGCTTATTGTTTTTCTCGGCATTGGGGCATGCAGGCGGGCACGTCCACTGGACATCTCCGTGCTTTTCTGCTTTCTTCTCGCCCGCAGCCTTAGGCTTGTCGTCCTTCTTTTCCTCTTTCTTGTCTGCCTCAGCCTTAGGCTTGTCGTCCTTCTTTTCCTCCTTCTTGTCAGCCTCAGCCTTGGGCTTGTCTTCCTTCTTTTCCTCCTTCTTGTCTGCCTCAGCCTTAGGCTTGTCCTCCTTCTTTTCCTCCTTCTTCTCTGCCTCGGCCTTAGGCTTGTCTTCCTTCTTTTCCTCCTTCTTGTCTGCCTCAGCCTTTGGCTTGTCTTCCTTCTTCTCCTCCTTCTTGTCTGCCTCAGCCTTAGGCTTGTCTTCCTTTTTCTCCTCCTTCTTGTCCTCCTTCTTCTCGCCCTCGGCTTTGGGCTTATCCTCCTTCTTCTCCGTCTTGATCACGGGAGGCTGAACTCCAACCTGCGTGATAGGCGTTTGGCTTTGTGGCATGTGGGGGTTCCGAAAATTAGGGGTACCCTATTCCTACTGCTTAGGGTACTATATCAGGGTCCCCTATTTTCGGAAACTCCCATGTGAGTTTAGGGGTGTCTGGGGCATCTTGATTACACGATCCAGACGAGCTTGTGTCACGAACACCCTAAACCTTAAACCAGCGACAGCATTCTAGAGTCTCCGAGCCTTAGGAATGAGAATAGGCTTCCTGTTTAAGGCTCCCTTTCAATTTAAGGGCTCTCGAAGGGCTTTGTAAGGTCTCAATATAGGGTCCACTTACAATGGGGCCTTGGGAACATGCTAGTTGCAATGGGAACAAATGTGAGCAAATGTTAGAAGCTACATGCTTTGGGCTGGGTCGTTCACAGTTTGGAGCTAATTGTCAGCTAATTTCCTACCACTGTAGGGGTGCAGCTCAAAACATCCAACAGTCATGCGCCGTATCCAACCCTTTGGCTGTTCTTGGTGATATGACTATATCCAACCCTGCACCCTGAGCCGTACTGGTAGTTCCCCAGTTATACCCTTGCGATGTTTAATGAAGCTTTGGGACTACAACAAGCACTTAGGGTTCGGGCAACTGAGCAAGGCTGAACTCGCCACTTCGATAAGCTGAGCCTGAGCCCAGAATAGCATCCGTATCGCTTGGAGGTTCCTTGTGTTGCTCGGGAGCTACCATGTATAGCTTCTAATTAGGGCGTCGATTGGGATGTGGCTTAGGGCTGGAGAACGGCAAGGAGTATGAACGATGGATGGCCCTAGCAGTGAGCATCTGCAAACCCAACATCCGAATCTTCCCGCCTCCTCCTCGCAGGTGGAAACTGGGACGTGGACTTGAACCCCATACCCTCAACCCAACAATGCCAAATCCTAGACCGCCCAAGGCTTGAACCCCAAACTCGTCCACCTCGTACTCGCCCTTTGCAGCGGCACTGGCAATCGCCAGTTCCTTCAAGTAGAGCTCACCTGGGTAATACCGCTCTTGGGCTTAGGAGGCTGACGTCTTTGAGTTTAATAAGTATTCTGCAGATGTGGCCACTAGCGTCAGCAGTAACTAGTGTGAAGCTCCGTCTTCTTCTTGGTGGGTTGGGGCCCATTTGGGGCTTTGGCCTCATTATGGTGTCTGTCTTGAACCCGAAGCCCCACCGGAGGGACACGCCCTACAGGTGCGTATAAGAAGCTGCCAAAACCCTAAGCCCAAAACCCTCAACCCAAAAGCCCGAATCCAAACAACAAGAACACCCAAAACCCTCAACCTTATATTTGCTCCCCCGAAACCTCACCGTTCTTGCCCGAAAGGCCAAAACAGAAAGCTCTGAACCCTGCTGCAGCCCTAAGGAACCCATTTATGATAATTATCGGAGTCTCCTTCAGGCAGGCATAGGGTTTGGGCGGGGTTAACGGTGGCGCTGAACTGTGTACGGCGTACTCGTTCTGAATCTTGCTTTGGCATGAAGCCTTTTTGTGTTGCACCCGAACCATAAACCCTTAGTTTACGGAGCATACGGCTTCCAGCTGATGAGCAACATCCCAAAATACTTTCTCTGTGCTGGGACTGCGGCTTGAGGATCAAATCACAACTCTTCCAGGCACAAGTAGTTGGCTGTGGGTGTCCTCTCTTTCTATACGTACAAATACAGATATGTTCACATACACACCGACATACATACATATACATACATACATGTACATACAGACAGACAGACCGACGGACGGAAGAACGGACGGACAAACAGTCGCGGGAAGGCAAGCAGGCAAGCAGGCAGAGGCACAAAAACACACACAGACACAGATAAACGTATGGTGAAACCGACCTATATGCAAAACATGTCTTTGTGTATACGATGCACCTAGAATCCGGCGCAGACTGACACCAAACCGCTGAACCCCAATTCCGTATGAATCCCGACAACGCAAACTCCTCACCTGGACCTAACCTGCTGGCTGCATGTATGCATGCATGTAGGCCTAAGCCCGATAGACCCTAAAGACCCTTAACCCTAAAAGTGCCAACCCTGGATTGACATAATACCTGAATTCGGCAGTTCGCGCAGTTGCTGTCGGGACGCTCATTTCTTTGAGAGGCAGCTTTCCTCCCTTCCCCTGTGAATGTAGCGAGCTACAGCTACGGCGGAAGTGGGCTTTGTGCCGTTCTGAGCTGTCGACGTGGGTTCATTTCCGGAAGGAATATGCAGGGATGCGGGGCTTATGAGATAAAGTCGGACAGGGTGGCATCGCGGAGGTTCCGAGATTCAAGAGGGGTTCTGGGTTTAGGGTTAGGGATCCAGCGAATCCCTCCCTCCGAGTTAGGCTTGTGGGCGGGCTCACCAAGGGCCAAACAAGCCTCTAACCGTCCCGAGTCCAGAGCCTACACTCCGTGCGGTTTAGGATTCAGGGTTTTCACCCAGAGCTAGATACTTTAGGGGCATGTAGGCCCTGTAGGCTTTCGGGCATGCGGGGCTTGTGAAAGGGCTGGAGTTTCGGATATCGAAGCTACCAGACAATAGAGGGCCAGTGATTAGTATAAACCCTAAACCCTATAAGCACCTGAATAACAAATCTTGAACCTAGAAACCCAACCTGTTAAGTCAGCCTGAACCTCGATCCCTATGAAGGTTTGGGGGTCAGGACATCAGGATTGTGCATCCCCCTGCCTATGCCTAGCAGGCAGGGCTTTCGCTTGAACCCCGGCGCCCGAGCCCCGAGTGCGCGCTAAACCGCGGCACCCGAGGCTCCCGGCGAACACACGAAAAAACACTCGTTGAAATGATGCCCGGAGAACCCTAAACCCTAAACCCCTAAACCCTAAACCCCCCCTAAATCCTAACCACCTAAACCCTACACCCTTAAACACTACGGAGACTCCAGGAACACTGGACCTTGCAGAGATCCAGCAGAGGAGCTTGCCTAAGGACGAGGGCTTTCTTCAGTGCTTCGGGGGCTTCCTGTAAAGGTGCTATAGGGGCTGCTACAAAGAGAACTGACTATATACTATACCCCCCTTAGAACCATCACAAACATAGTAGTTTTAAAGATTTTTTGGATTTTTGTATGAACAAAAATGAAAAATAATTCCTAAGGACACTGTCGTATAAGGGCTTTCAAAAGAGGGCTGACGAGGGGCTCCTTTGATTGGACTTACAGCAGCGTCTACAACAAAAAACCATAAGCTCTCTACTTCGTCGACCAGTCCAAAGTTCAAACAGCCCGTCTCTGGAGAACTATCGGGCGCATATCACAGGTTGGGAGAGTTTACGCTCGAAAGCCCGTAAACCTGTACCCAAAAAAACATAGACCCATCTGCATCCTAAACGCGGAATCTTGAACCCTAAGCCCTTCGTTTTGGGACTTTGACCGCCAGGGGTGGCGAGAACTTCAGAAGCGATTCGGGCAGGCTTTTCAGGCTTGGCTGTTCGCACCTGGAGGGTCTGAGGCCTGCTATGAATCGATGGGTCTTAATCGCCAGAACAGGGTTTTGGGGCTATGATAAGGCCCTAATATAGGGGCCTAAACAATTACCAATACTACTTTGGGGGGTTCCTTATTACAAGTATAGAGGTGTACTGGGCCGCAATTATGAAGGCCCCTAGACCCTAAACCCCCTTACCCTCAACTCTGAACGCCAAAAAGGAACCCTAAACCCTAAGCCCTATTAAAGTGTTAGAGTGAAGTCTGAGCCAGAGTTGCAACGCCCAACTCCAGATTCCTTAATCTGAACCCTGTTATGGAACCCTAATCTCCACTAAACCCCCATAGGCTAAAACCCCTCTTGGCCTCCTATGACCTAGACTGAGCCTAGAGGCAACGCCCAAAGGAGGTTTAAGATTCTTGGAGTAGGGATTCCTTAATTAACATGAACCCTATTATGGGAACCCTAATCCCTACTAAACCCACATTCAAGTGTTAGAGTGAAGTCTGAGCCAAGAGGCAAGGCCCAACTCCAGATTCCTTAACCTGAAGCCTATTATGGGAACCCTAATCACCACTAAAGGCTAAAACCCAATTTGGCCTCCTATGACCTAGACTGAGCCAAGAGGCAAGGCCCAACTCCAGGAGAAGCTCAGATTCCAGGGAGCGCGGCCCTGGATCTTCTTGATCTGCCCAGGGCCCGGGGGCTTCGAAGGCGGAGGCTACGGCTTCGGGTTGTATAAGTATTACAGGGCCCTAAGCCCTAAACCCCTAAACTCTAAACCCTAAACCCTAAACCCCTAAATCCCTAACCCTAAGCCCTTATAGGGTATTATGATAGGGCTTCTTTAAAACTTTAACGGGGCTCACGGGCTTTCTATCTGTCTCTTTTAATAATAAGGGGAGCCAAAACAAGGCTTAGGGTTCTGGGTTTACGGATGTTTACGGATTAAGAATTAAGAGTGCTTTTGGGATGTCTGGCAGAAGTTTGGCTTCCTTTGGCGAGGCTTCAGCGGAATTCTTGGGGCCAAAGGAGCTACAGTACGGCGTTCACTGCGTCCTCTGTACCGCTTATTCGTGCATTAAAGGTGGCTCAAAGATTGGCTGCGGCCCCGAACTTGTCGGAACCCCAGCCCCACATACAAAACAGTAGGTAGTTGCATCCACAAGCAGACTTGGCGTGCCGGGGGGTTGTAGATTCGGGGTTTGGGGCGCTTTGGAACCCCATGGTAGCCCTATTGTGCCCTTGCGTTCTCCGGTCGGTAGACTGCTTAGCGTTTTGGAAGACGTGACGAGTTCTTCGGTTTCGGCGGCATCGCGGTACCAAACCGCCATGCCCAGAGGAACCCTAAACCCTACACGGCCCTACACCCAAAACCCTAAACCTTGCAAAACCTAAACCCCCGAAAGCCTAATCCCTGCAAACCCTAAACCGTAAACCGAAAGCCATCCCGACCGGTTCTTGTCGGAGCCAAGCCTTACCTGCTTCCACTTGCTAGGAGCCCTACTTGTCTGGTATCCACAATCCGGAACTACAGGTCAACCTTTTGGAATATATTGGGATTATTATAGGGATTCGAGTACCCCAAAAGGATAAAGGTTGCCAACTCTACCTCCACTACTACTACTACTACTACTACTACTACTACTACTACTACTACTACTACTACTACTACTACGACTACTACGACGACGACGAGTAGGGAACAGCACTGTCCGGCTTCTTCTTCGCTTGCGCCTTGGGCTTACTCCCAGATCCAATACTACTGGATTAAAGAACATTCCTTAAATTATAGCAAGGTTCCTACTGTAGTTTAAGGCATATTCCTTAATTACGTGTTATTGGGGTCTCTGGACTTCCTGCCTGCTTGCATTCGGACTTCGAGCCCGCTGCTGATTCGGGGTTAGGGCAGGGCTTAATGTAGGAGCCTGATTAAGGAACCCTGGCCCCATAACCCCAAAAAATATTAGGGTTCATATAAGGAACCCACAATAAAGGCACAAGGTTTCTTAATCAGGTTCCTACATATTAGGGTTAATTATGGATAGAACTGAAGGGTTAAGGTTGAGCAGAAAACCCAAACTATAAAACCCTAAACCCTGAAAGCCTATACCCGCATGAAAGTCCAACAGCAACAAAGACCAGATCTAGTATTTACAACAAGGATGCTATTTGGCAACCGTGTCATCGTCATGATGCTTACCGCCATCAGCATGGAAAATATCATAATCGTCATTATCGCTTTTGCCGTCTCAGCATCACCAATTGCAAGACCGACATGGCCAGCGACGGAAAGCATCAGCATCAAGTTGGTACTCGAAACCCCCTAAACCCTGAACCGGAAACTAACCCTAGAACCCCAAACCCGAATCCCATCAAATCCCTAAACCCTACCCAGAGCCTCCAAAACCCCTTAATTAAGGAATATACCTTAAATTATAATAGGATCCCTAATATGATTTTAAGGTATATTCCTTAATTAAGGGGTTTTGGATGCTCTGGGTAAACCGACAACTCACACGCAAGGACCTTGTTCAGGGCAGAGAGCCTTGCCGCGGCGTCCTCCGACCGGCAGGCGGATACGGTTTCGGGTTGGGGTTGCGGGTTTTGGTATTAGGGTTTCGGGTTTAGGATTTTGAGTTTAAGGTTTTGGGTTTAGGTTAAGGTTTAAGACGTCTGGTTTAGGCGTTAAACTTTCGGGTCCATACGGTTTGAGCTTTCGGGCTTCGTTCTCGGAGTTGACTGGTGTAGTCTAGCGGGCATGTAAGATAAGATTTAAGCTAAGCTTCTTTCTACAGCAGGTTGTTTCTGGGCATACGGATACCCCTGAACCTGGACTCGGTTGTGCTTGCTAAACTCCATTAAGGCTCTCAGTGGAAAGTTTTTGATGCAACCTTCAAGGGTGCTACAGGTTTGTGTTTGTCGTGCTTGACTGTGGCAGCGTTCTTCACGTGTGTTTGAAGTGTTTGGTAAGCGATAAAAGCCTTAAGTTGCAACTTGGTGGATACCTTCGGTCTTGATTCTGTCGGGATGCCACAGCTATGCGACCGCAATACAAAAAACTGTGGAGGCTGCTATATCAGCCCAAACATTGCAACCCTCTGCGTGGGAATGCAGTGCGAAGAGTACGGAAACCCAGGGAAGCCCGACCCTGGACCCAAAACCCTGAAACACTCCTACTCATAGCAGATGACTTAGTTGCTGAGTTCATAAGCCCCGAAACGTGTACACTTTTGGTTTTATAGTGGGTCATATTCTCCCAAAAAGTGTATCCACTCAGCTACTAAGATGATATCCCCGACATGAATGCACGTGAAGACATAAAGGGTTCGAGCTTCCAACGAGTCCGAATCCAAAGTTCATTCTGTCAAACATGACAAAAACAACTATCACTACATCCTCGCATGGTTTGGTTTGCTTTTCGTGAGCATAAGACAAAGGGACCCCGGGACGAAACATAGAACCTGAAATGGAGGATTCTTATGAGGATCCCTGCGATAAGAACTCTGCAAGGGAATCCCTAATTTTGGTTGGAGATGATGACCGCTACAAGCATGATACTGCAATAGCTCATTTTCCGGCAGGCACTACAACCCCAAACTCCAACCCCCCGAAACCTAAACCCCAAACCCTAAACCCTTCTGAACTTGTCTAGTTCATGGTTGGGATCGGATTAAAAATTTACACTTTTTCCTTATTGGGTTGAATACCCATAAACATGTAAAATGTTACCCAACTTTGACAAAGTTGTACTGAAACATCGGATTCCTACACTGGCTGCAAAGTAACAAGCACGGCGCCTATGCGCACGCACCCTTACAGAAACCAATCCCTCCCAAGGAACCCTATGAAACACTTAGAGATTGAAGGCCTGTAAAAACCGAAAACGGCCCCAAACCCTAAACCCCAAAGCCTAAACCCCAAACCCCTAAACACTGAGACCCTACGCGACCCTCACGTCACCTCGAGGCTTTGACCGCCACTGAGGAAGTTGATGGATTTGATGGAGGTCGGCACCGTCTGGCAGAGAAGGCGGAGTGAGAAAAGGCAGAAGCTTCTCAATCGCCGCCGGCTTTCCGGTCGCCGGGGTTGTAGGAGTGAGGTGTTTGGATTTTGGAGGGCAGGCTTTGAGGGTTTAGGGTTAGGGTTTAGTGGCGTTGAGGACACATCTGCCGAGGAGTCTACCAGAACAGGATATTCTCGTTCTGTCTGTTTCACAGGTGACATGCGACGACATGGGAGTCAGGCGCCGTGGTGAAAAGGCGTACGGCTTCGACATTTTAAATTTACCGAGCCATCGGCCGTCAATCCCGAAATCTTATTATCTGCTCTCCCGAACCCGCAAAAACTCGCAAAAATGTCCTGGTCCCCGCCCGACACTCAGTACAACAACTCTCAAACTGAATACCTTGCTCACACTCGCGAGAAATTGCTTAGGCGTGCCGGAGCACTCAAATGAAGATCTGCAGTCAACAACCGGAGCCGAAGTGCAAACACACCGAGCTCAACAAGCCCATAATCCGTCTAAGAGTCTCTGAAATATTGGGCAGAACCGACGTGTTGGCTTCCTTCACCAACTGTGACCGGACCACCAGGAAAAGGAAGCACCAGCTGAAACCCAAGCGTCTAGCCGCCTAGCCCTAGCCGTGTTTGTTACACTCGAACCAAGGCCATCCAAACCCTAAACCCTAAACCCTAAACCCCTAAACCCTAAACCCCTCCTTAGACCCGGCCCTAAACCCTAAACCCGTAAAACCTAAACCCCTCCCTAAACTTAAACCCTAAAACCCTAAAACCTAAACCCTTAAACCCTCAACCCCTAAACGCTAAATCCCTAAACCCTAACCTTCGCTATCCTGAGAAGCGGACCCTTCGCCAGGTCATCATGTTCGACATGGCAATCCTCGGCTAGGATACCCAGTAACCGAAGAATAAAAAGGCCTCTCTTTTTGGTATTGGGTAACTTGATAAGGAACCTAGGACTACAAAAAGGGAATAAGGGTACTACTGGGCATCCTAGTCGGTCGGAACGTAGACTCGGTTGCGCAGTAGCCCCTCAAAAGCAAAGGGACCCTGTCTCCTACTATTATTCCTGACTAAAAGAAACAAACAAGAGGTACTGCTGGAAGACCTCGCAGATAAGAGATAGAAGAGCCGAGGAAAACTAGCTGTAACTGGCCCGAAAGCCCGCCGCAAATCGTGGTCTCAGGGTTTAGACTTAAGGAGCTGGAGGGTGAGGGTCTGGGCCTTGACGGCATATGAATTTGGAGGTTTTATGCGTGGGGCTTTGGGCTTGGGGTTTAGGGTTCAGCGCATTGTTACGAAGCTGACTCTTCAACATGTGGCCTCACTGATCAGGACATGCAGCACTCCTTTTCATACACGCACTGCCATCTGCGGTAGATGTGCCATGATGTGGGTAGCCTTCAAGACATGCAACCTCAAGCATAAATCCTAGACCTGTGCAGAACACTACCCACATAGAGCACTGCGAGCCCAGGTGGACCCAGGAATCACACTAAAAGGCTTGGGTGGGAGGGTTGCAGGGTATAGGATACAGAGCCTACCTTAAAACGGGCAGCCCTGACGTTCCGAGGAACCTGTAAGATGACAACCTTTTCAGACATATGTGTATGAATAAGTATCTATATATATATATATATCGATACAGTATGTAATATATATATATATAATATAATATACACAAACACACACACACATATAGGATCAAACACAAAACCCTACACCTTAAACCACTGAACCCTAAACCTCCATGCCCTAAACCTTAAACTCTTACTTTCCCAGCTCGACGCCATTGGCTGAGAGTGTTTCCAGGATCGAAGCCTCGGGGGAGGTGGATAGTTGATGGGCTTAAGGCTGTTACTTTGAAGGGCTCCAAGGGGATGTCACAGCCCAGACCCCAGGGTTTAGGGTTTAGGGTTTGGGGTTTAGGGTTTAGGGCTCCGGGAGGATGCAAAAAGTGGATCCCTTAATGGGGGTTCCTATCAAGTACCCTTAGTAGTATGGGGGCCCCAACTTAGGGGATCGACTTTCTAGATCCTCCCGGGAGTCTGGGTAGGGGCCGAGTACCTGAGCCAAGAAAAGGCAAACCTTCCAATTATGTCAGTGATATAGAGGTTTAGGAGTTCAGGACTTTGGGCTTAGGGCTTTAAGGCTTAAGGCTGCTAGAGTTTAGGATGAAGGGGCTTAGGTTTAAGGGATTCAGGGGTTTAGTCGCCTACACGTCGTTGGACAAGCAGAAGATTGGACCCGGATTGAAGCTGCTACGTTTTGATTTTAAAGTGTAGCGCACCGCTCCTTTGACTCCAAAAGGTAGGGCTTCGGGTTGTGGGGTTGGGTTTAAGTTTCGGCTGAGGGTTTAGGGTTGCGGTTTAGGGTTTAGGGTTTTGGTTTAGGGTAACACGCTTGCAGCCTCCAAACCTGTCGCACTCAACCGACCGGCGCGTGGACTACTGACCAATCCCCAAGCAGAATCCCCACAACCCGTAAGCCTAGGCAAAGAGAGCTCCCGTTTTGGTGTTGGGAAGTTCTTACTGGCTGAGTAACCTAGCCCACAAAAGGTAAAGCTTCTGAATTGCACTAGGAATATACAAGTCCCAAAATGCTATAAAGTTCGGTTAAAGGCTACCTACTCAGCCCCTCAGAGTTTGATAACGAACCGAAGACCCAAAATAGGGGAAAGGGCCCACTGGGAGACCTACTTTACTAGGATACCCAGTAACCTAAGAATAAAAAGGCCTCTCTTTTTGGTATTGGGTAACTTTATAAGGAACCTAGGACTACAAAAAGGGAATAAGGGTACTACTGGGCATCCTAGGTTCACATGCAGAACCAGGATTGCCCCCCCGATTTAGGGTTTTGGGGTTTAGGGGTTTGGGGTTTAGGGTTTAGAGTTTTGGGGCTTAGGGTTTTGGATTCTAGGAAGCCCGGAAACCTTAAACCACCGAAACACACCCTAGGGTTTAAAGTTTAAGTTTTAGGGGTTTTATTCAATTGAGGGTTTAGGGTTTAGATCTTAAAGCTTTGGTAAATAATTGGGGGTCTCTCATGGACCGGGGATGAGGGCTGCAACCCAAAGCTCTAAGCCCGTCAAAAAACCTCCGCGACCCAGGCCCCAGAAAACCTAAATTCGGCAACCACACAGCGGGCTAGGAGTTGAGATTACTAGGATGCCCAAGAACCTAGGAATAAAAGGGCTCCCTTTTTGGTACTGGCTAACTTTATAAGGAACCTAGGACTACAAAAAGGGAATAAGGGTAGTACTGGGCATCCTAGATTAGGGTTTGGGGTTCTCAGCTTGTTTTGCAAGCCGGCTGCTTCGTCCATGTCACCTTAGCTGCACGGGCCATCGACGAACGCCTATTTTGAAGCCCTATAGTCCCAGACCGAGATATTCAGCTACTCAGGAGGTTGACCTTCTAAAGATCTAAAGCCTCAAAACGATGTTCCTTCGTCAAATGTATGCAATTGTATGCAATCCGACAAAACTGTAAGTTCGTCAAAGGAACTCGCTGTCACACCGCTGTACACAACAATAAAACAGCCTTGTAGAGACATCTAAACCCTAAGCTCCAAAGCCTAACCCTAAACCCTGAACCCGAAACCCTTAACCCCAAACCCTAAATCTCAAACCCTGAACTAGGCCGGTAAGTCACCCCACTTGCACAGAACTTGCCGGACGTGCGATGCCCGGACGGGGTCGCTCCAAACCGGAAGCCTCGGATTAGTGCTTCGGTTGATGATATAAATCCTTTAAAGGGATCTATACGGGTACCTTTAAGGGGCTCCTTTAAGGGATCTATGGAGTTTTAGGGTTTAGGGATATAAATCCTGCATTACCCATAAGAAGGACTATACCTCAATTCCCATAGTTTAAGGGCCTTAAGGTAATGCAGGATTTATATCATCAACCGTTCGACTTAGGAGTGCAGGGTTTAAGGTTTAAGGAATATACCTGCGGGTTCTTCCTTAAAGGCTTCCTGACAGGTATCCATAAGGGTTCCACAAGGGCATTACCTGTAATAGTGTCCATTGTACTTCCTATTTTGGTTAACCAAGTTTTTAGTATAGGATCCTACTAACCATCAAGTTTTTAGTATCGGATCCTAACCATAAAACTGGTTAACCAGAAAAAAAAACTACAATGGAGACTACAGGTAGGGTTTAGGGGTTCTACGAACTCAGGGTTTAAGGCTTTTTTGAGTTCAGGCTTCAGGGTTTTAGGGTTCAAGGTTTTGGGGGAGTTTAGGGTTGAGGCTCTAGTTTTTTCAACTTGCAGGATTTCTGAGAATATCGGGTTTTCAAAGGGATGCTGAGGTTTCTGGGTGTAGAGACTATAAGGTAAAAGCCAGAAAGTTGGAATATGATTATCCTAACCCTTCTATGGTAAATTATAGGGTATCCTACCATGAAACCATATTCCAACTTTCTGGAGTTCCCTATAGAGCTTCATGAGATTGTGTACCGGGTTTAGGTCTGGGTGTTTGTTGCTGGCTCTTGTGGTGTGTTGGGCACGACGCTTGAACACAATCCTGGTGATTATAATGCTGTCGAAATAAATAACATGAGGATCGCGATGATGTTGACCATGATGCTGCTAAAGACGGCGACAGTGACGATATGTGCGATGTTGTTGGTGGGCAGAACTGTGATAATCGTGATAGCATGCGCGTGGTGACCATTGAGCTGGTGATCTGACTCCTGAAATACTGGTGCTGATGATGCCGCTGATGGCGGCGACGATGATCTATCTGGATGATAATTATGGGTAGTTTGTCAAAATTATGGTCCCTTTTTGGGTCCCTATTATAGTACCTTAAAAGGGCCATAATTTTGACAACATATCTTATAATAAGGATCCTACTATATAGGATACTATATTAGGGTCCCCTATTTTCGGACATCCCCGAATATGGCAACATAAAGATCCCAGCTGCTCCTTAATGACCGCGCCGCTCTTCTCCTGCATGAGCTGCCTTGGCCAGTGGTAGTTCTGAGCAGTTGCAGTTCCCGAAGCAAAGAAGTTAGGGTTTAGGGGTTAGGGTTTAGGGTCAATCAGCAGCTATCTCCCGAAACTCTCAACCGGCCACTAACCGCGTCGGAAATTTGACCTTTAGCCTTGGTCGTTTCATCCTCGACCCCGAACACGTCCTTGGTGGCGGCGGTGGTGATTACTTGCCTCATACTCACGAGGCCCATATCATTACTTCATACGTTTCGCGTGTTGACATGGCCATTGCCTCGTAACTACCCAGATTCCCCAGCTACGACCTACTGTGAAACCAAAACGTTGAACCTGTCATCCGTCTTCAACTCTACCTATGGTCTCCATTGTAGTTCCTTTTTGGGGTTACCGTTTAGGATCCTTAATATTAAAAATTGGTTAAACCAAAAAAAGGAACTACAATGGAGACTATAGGTAGGACTCATCAGCACACTGCCAGGCTAGCAGCAGGCACAGCACGAGGATGTCGAAGGCACGGTATTTGTGCGCCTCCGATAGGGTTTAGGGTTTAGGGTTTCTTACCCAAATAATAGGCTGCTGGGTTCCACAAGATTAAGATATGGCTAGTCAGTACATTACTTCTACTAATATTGCAACCGTGGCCCTAGGGTATCGGGATTGAAAGTGAAATTTACAGGTTTCAAATCAAATTGAATGTTACGCATTCTGGCAACAGGAATAGTCGGAATAGTGAAAGAGGTGCGGCTTCGGAGTTTGTCCATACGCTGCAGTACACGGCTACGAGGACTGAGTTTGAAGATGACAGAAGGGATTTGTTTGGTTGCTCTGAGCTACTGCGAGATGGACATGACGTCTTCTTCCGTAAGAGCCAAGCAGGTGCCATCACAGGATCCAATAAACCCTAAACCCTAAACCAT